TAATCCGCCCAGGCTGTTTTCATTTTGTCCGCAGCTCCTCCCGGGTAGGTGGACAAAATGACAGAGTCGACTGTATTTGAACACTGATCACTTTAAGCTATCGCACAACATTCTACCTCTTATGGTCTCCGAGATATCCTGCGCGCAAGGTCCAACAAAAAGTTACCGAGAAAAACCGGTTTTAAGTTGGAGGGCCAACCTAACTAACCTAACATGATTGTACGAATTAAAAGCATCCTATGCCGATTTGACAGTGCTGTAGGTCGAAATATGGTCAGGTTTGGTTGTACCAAGGCCCAAAGAGTCGGAAAAAAGTAAAAACTGAAAATCGATTTTCGTCACTTTACCCCTCCCTTAAGCGACTCACATTGAATCACCGTGTACAAGTGAGGGAAGTTACAACGATCAATATTGGAACTGGCACGATGCAGTAGCAGGCACAAGCAGGATCCCACGGAAAGAGAGAATTTTGCAAAGCAGCAACGGTTATTTGAACGTGAACACTCGGAGAAAGAGATGTGATGTAGATGGAACTAGCATTGCTTGATTCGATGTGCGAAAAATACACTCAATCATTAAAGAACGGTGCGAAGATGCCTATCACTTCTCATCCAAGATTAGTCCATTGTTTAAACATTGGCAATATCAGACGTTCGAATGGTAGCGATTTTTGTTTTCAGCTACCCGAAAACATATGAATACATACATAGGTCGTAACTCGCGCTGCTCGCTGGGGGCTCCGCCCCCAGACCCCCGCATGTGTGGGGCGCGTGCCGAAGTGTTTTCAGTACGTCCGTGGTGACCAAAGGCAAATTTTCCAAGGAAGTAAATGTACTGCTTCTTTGAAAGGTCTACTAACAACTTTTGACCATATAATTAAGCTCTTTTACTGCCCAAATGGATAGCTTGTATTGCATTAGCTACTGTGGCAGTCAATGACTGCATACAAGGTCCGGAAAATATTGAAGACTGCTTGAGAAGGAAAGAGGTAATGGAAAGAAAAAACCGCGAGTCTCTAAGACCACCCCTTGACCCGAAACATTTCTATGAGTGAGTGAGTCAGTCAGTCGGATTGGGGCTTTATAGGTTCTTGATTGACGATTTTGAAGACGTTGCCGGTGACGGGGCCTGATTGCGGCATAGTTTCGGAAATGTCTCGACAAGACCTACCGATGGGGCGAATAAAAATTTTTAGTCGGTCGGTCCCTATTTTTGAAGGTTGAGTGGACTTTGTTAATTTAATTTGTTATTTAAAAAATTCCGTCACTAAAATCTTTTTTATACATCTTTAGGATAACCCAAAAAAATTTTTAAGACTTGCCGTCCCAATGAAAGACGCAGGAAGATTTTTCCCCAACGCTCTAAAAACACTAAAAAGCCACTTTTCTCAGCAAACGTTCAACATTTTGGATTGAATTTTGTGTTGGGAACTCACCATAATGAACCTAATAATTAAGCAAAGTTTCAACTTTCTGGGATTATTTTGAAGCCTACTTAAAAGTTTCACCAGGGTCCCCCCTTAAGGGTGTTGCTGGTGACGGGGACCAGATTGCGGCATAGTTTCGGAAATGTCTTGACCAGACCTACCGATAGGGCGAATAAAAATTTTCAGTCGGTCGGTCCCCTTTTTTGAAGATTGAGTGGATTTTGTGGAATTTAGGCCTATTTAATCGTTTTGAGGACGTTGCCGGTGACGGAGACCCGATTGCGGCACAGTTTCGGAAATGTCTCGACCAGACCTACCGATAGGGCGAATAAAAATTTTTAGTCGGTCGGTCCCCTTTTTTGAAGATTGAGTGGATTTTGTTGAATTTAGGCCAATTTTATCGTGTTGAGGATGTTGCCGGTGACGGGGACCCGATTGCGGCACAGTTTCGGAAATGTCTGGACCAGACCTACCGATAGGGCGAATAAAATTTTTTAGTCGGTCGGTCCCCTTTTTTGAAGATTGAGTGGATTTTATTGAATTTAGGCCTATTTTATCGTTTTGAGGATGTTGCCGGTGACGGGGACCCGATTGCGGCACAGTTTCGGAAATGTCTCGACCAGACCTACCGATGGGGCGAATAAAAATTTTCAGTCGGTCGGTCCCCTTTTTTGAAGATTGAGTGGATTTTTTTAAATTTATGTTAAATTTAGGCCTATTTTATCGTTTTGAGAATGTTGCCGGTGACGGAGACCCGATTGCGGCACAGTTTCGGAAATGTCTTGACCAGACCTACCGATAGGGCGAATAAAAATTTTCAGTCGGTCGGTCCCCTTTTTGAAGATTGAGTGGATTTGTTAAATTTATGTTAAATTTAGGCCTATTTTATCGTTTTGAGGATGTTGCCGGTGACGGGGACCCGATTGCGGCACAGTTTCGGAAATGTCTTGACCAGACCTACCGATAGGGCGAATAAAAATTTTCAGTCGGTCGGTCCCCTTTTTTGAAGATTGAGTGGATTTTGTTAAATTTATGTTAAATTTAGGCCTATTTTATCGTTTTGAGGATGTTGCCGGTGACGGGGACCTGATTGCGGCACAGTTTTGGAAATGTCTCGACCAGCCCTACCGATGGGGCGAATAAAAATTTTCAGTCGGTCGGTCCCCTTTTTTGAAGATTGAGTGGATTTTGTTGAATTTAGGCCTTTTTATATTTTTATATATCGTTTTAGGATGTTGCCGGTGTCGGGGACCAGATTGCGGCACAGTTTGGAAATGTCTCGACCAGATCTACCGATAGGGCGAATAAAAATTTTAGTCGGTCGGTCCCTTTTTTCGAAGATTGAGTGGGTTTGCTCGGAAACAGTGAGGAATTTGGTCCCCTTTTTAAAGATTAAGTAGGTTTGCTCGGAAACGGTGAGGAATTTTGAACTTCTGGGATTTTCCCAATTTTCCATAAAATTGGGAATCGAATAGAAAAAAACCGCAAGTCTCTACGACCACTCCTTGACCCAAACATTTCTATGAGTGAGTGAGTCAGTGAGTGAGTCAGTGAGTCAGTCGGATTGGGCTATATAGGTTCTTGACTCGCGCTGCTCGCTGGGGGCTCCGCCCCAGCCCCCCGCATCTGTGTGGCGCGTGCCATATTTTCAGTACGTCCGTGGTGACCAAAGGCAAATTTTCCAAGGGAGTAAATGGACTGCTTCTTTGAAAGGTCTACTAACCAGCTTTTGACCATTTAATAAAGCTACTTTTACTGCCCAAATGAATAGCTTGTATTGCATTGGCTACTTTGGCAGTCAATGGGCGCATACAAGGTCCGAAAAAATTGAAGACTGCTTTGACAAGGATAGAGGTGAATTGAAAAAAACCGCAGGTCTCTACGACCACTCCTTGACCCTAAACATTTCTATGAGTGAGTCAGTCGGATTGGGCCTATATAGGTTCTTGATGATTAATGATTTTGGGGACGTTGCCGGTGACGGGGACCCGATTGCGGCGTGGTTTCGGAAATGTCTCACTTGACCTATCGATAGGGCAAATAAAAATTTTCAGTCGGTCGGTCCCCTTTTTTTAAGATTGAGTGTTTTGATGTATTAAGGCCTATTTTATCGTTTTAAGGATGTTGCCGGTGACGGGGACCCGATTGCAGCACAGTTTCGGAAATGTCTCGACCAGACCTACCGATGGGGCGAATGAAAATTTTTAGTCGGTCGGTCCCCTTTTTTGAATATTGAGTGGATTTTGTTGAATTCAGGCCTATTTTATCGTTTTGAGGATGTTGCCAGTGACAGGGACCCGATTGCGGCACAGTTTCTGAAATGTCTCGACCAGACCTACCGATAGGGCGAATAAAAATTTTTAGTCGGTCGGTCCCCTTTTTCGAAGATTGAGTGGGTTTGCTCGGAAACGGTGAGGAATTTGGTCCCCTTTTTTGAAGATTAAGTAGGTTTGCTCGGAAACGGTGAGGAATTTTCAACTTTCGGGATTTTTCCCAATTTTTCCATAAAATTTGGAATCGAATGGAAAAAACCGCAAGTCTCTACGACCACTCCTTCACCCAAACATTTCTATGAGTCAGTCAGTCAGTCAGTGAGTGAGTCAGTCGGATTGGGGCTAGGTTCTTGATGAAAGTAATACGCCAAAAACAGGTCCAGAATTGATCGGAAATTGATCGGAATAGGGTAAAAGCTTGGTCGGGCGTTCCAATGATAGCGATTTTTGGTTTCGGCGACCCGAAAAACATAGGAATCAATATATAACTCATATCACTCAAACTGCTAATTTTACGTCGAAAAAGGCCCAAATTTGGTTGGAACTTGGTCGGAATTGGTAGAAAACTTGATCGGTCGTTCAAATAGTGGTGATTTTCGCCATCAGCGACCCAAAAAACATCGGAGATGATGCAGATCTTGACACGGAGAGTCCACTCCAAAACTCGCTCTTTAAGGCCCAAAAAGCAGGAAAACAAGTGTAAAAAACTCATTTTTGAAGCCCCATTTGACCCTCTAGATATGTATTGTTGCATCAACTTTGATGGCCCATCTTAATTTAGTATGAAAACGAACGATTTCCCAAAGTTTGGTCGAAATCGGAGTGTATGACCTAAAAACGTTCCCTTGTGAGCACTAGGCGTGGTCAAAACTATCTTTTTTAGAATTTCAAATATCACGCGGCACATTTTGTACAGTGAGAATCTAACGGCCATAAGTCTAGCGTCAGTGTGTGCAATGCGTTTGAACCCGTTTTCATTCTGCCAACAAATGCAACACTTTTGCAATTCGCCTTTCCATGAATAAGCAGAGTGTGTTTGCGGAACGCGTCGCACCTCAGTTGTGATGCGCCTATTGTGATGTTCCAAAGCCTTGCAACACAGGTGCTATGTTTGTTGCTTTTGGAATCACACTGAAGCATTTTTTTGTCCTTATTCCATGAATGACCTCGTTTTATTCACGGAGCGAAAGCTCTCCGTCTAAGCAGGGCAAATTCGATGAATTTGCGATTGGACGTTTTAAAAAGATCAAGCGTGCTCTTACAGATAAACTTTTTTCAGTTCAGATCCCTTGTGTACCAACCTGTGTACGAAGTGCACACCAAGAGGATGATCATCAGCAGGCAAGGTCTCGAAGTCATCCTTGATGTAGTGGTGACCCAGACTGATAGCTGAACAGAAGACCCACCTACACAACAGGAAGAAATTAAGTTCTGACGATGAGGACCTCGACATTTTCTCGAAAGGTTGTTTCAATGTTATATATCGATGCCTCTTCGGTTCCTTCTATCAATTTCTTTTATGAAATTCAAGGAAAAAAGACGCCAGACCACATCTTACCGTAACACTCTGCGCGGCTCCACAAAAAAAAAAAACACTTGGCCGGAGACCCCCTTAAGATCTGGCTCCCTCCTGGTTTTTTGGTTCCACTAGTGAAAACAAATTCCCAGAACGAAAATTGGGCTGGATCCAACACCGATTGGCTTTTTTTTAAAGGTCAAAATCCCTTAGAAATTGCTGTTTTTGAGGGTTTGAGGCTTTTTGGGATCCCGGGACCTGTTTGCCAAACATCTACCAAAATATCGTTTCCGAAATGAAAAATGCGCTCTTTTGAATGCTGGGTCGCGCGAGGCTCTACGACGTCGCACAGTGGGCCACGAAGCCGGTTTAGGCGGACATAATACCATTTTTTCAACTCTCAAATCTTATTGTTTTTTTCATGAAATCTCTTTCTAATTCACTAAGGAACCAGGATTGGACAGAATTTTAACGAAGGGACACGTTGAGGCAAAGATACAAGTGGGCAAGCACGCACCAAACGATTGACGCCACTTTGGTGCAGCAACACGCATGATTTTAAACGCAAAAAATACTGGTTTTTTCTTGTGCAGCAAACTTTTTATTGACACCACGTGAGAGGGCGTTTCTTCACGATCATTTGCATAAATTTTCTTTTTATTTTTGACAGTTTTTGTGGCGTCTAGCTTGATTTTTAATACACTCTTAGAAATTTGTTAAAATTAAACGTTTGCAGAGGCGGCACTTTTTTGTTTAACGTTGTTTTACGGCCTCCTTCGGTCCTTGCGGGAGCCAACATGCCAAGGAACAAAACCCAAAAGAATAAAGCTGCACCTTCCTGCCCCTTTGAGTTGTAGGGCCTCCCAAGCATGGTATAAAAGGAGAATAACAGGAAAAGAAGCTACACTGGCGGAAAAAAATTAAGGGGACACTTTTTCAAAGTGACCTCAAATCTCGAGTTTCAGAGCTAGAAGGCTGCAACTTTGACACAAGTTGCCTTTAAGTGTCCTGAAGACACGTGAAAAAATGCACCGACGAGGTTGGACCGGAAGGGGGTGATTCACCCCCAGCAAATTTGAAGTGCAAAAAAACGCAACTTTAGAAGCGACCAGCCTGGCTCTCGGGGGTCAAAAGAATCGGAAAACGGTATAAAGCGATTGCCCTTGACGTCCTCTACAAAATGCGACCACCGGGAGACCACAAGGACAAACCCACCCCCTACAACCCCCACCCCCTTCAAAATCCACACTTCTTGAGGTGCAGCCCTGAGATCGGGCTGGCTTCATCCTCTTGGTCACCCTGATCACGAGGATACCGCGTTTGAGCCTGTGCACCCCGTTGTCAACCACGGAGAGGCCGAAACACTTCACCCCCTTTTAAACCCCCGCGTTTGAGGAATTTCTGCTTTTCGGAGGTGGGTGAAACTCACCAGGGAAGACGTGACCTTGAACAGCGTCGAAAAGGTCCCATGTCGATAGCTGCCCTTGGAACCACGCAAAGACACCCCCAAGTTAGGGGTGCTCAACCCCCAAGCGGAGGGGTTGAAAACAGCCGCGCTGCTGGGTAGGCCTTCCAGACCACCAAAGCCATCGGGTACATGCTTTTTAGCACTTAAATTAATGTCTCTTCACAATTTTTAGCCTAAAAACTGTGTTTCGACGAAAAAACAACCCCGGTGTTTGCGCCCTTGTAGGAGCTGAATCAGGAGGGCTACGGCCATGCCAACCGCGGCATTGGATGCGCCAAGGCCTCCTTATCAGACACCCTAAAATTCAGAGTTTTCCAATCACGCGTTTCCAGACAGTAAGCGCAAGTTTCGAACTCCTGCACACGGTCCTGCCGGGAAAGGCTCTCAAAAGGAAGGAAACCCTTTGGGCTTCGATTTCAGTGATTCTTAAACTTCATGATTCAGCGGGTCGGATTCGATTTAATGGGTTAGAGATTGATCAAAAACACAAGCTAAACAAATCTGATCAGCTGAATCCTGAAAAAAGCGGAAAAACTGAAATCAAAGCCCTATGCGTTGCCTACATTTTGAGAGCGTTTCCCGGCAGGACGGTGTGCAGGAGTTCGAAACTTGCGCTTACTGTCTGGAAACGCGTAATTGGAAAATTCTGAATTTTATGGTGTCTGAAAAGGAGGCCTTGGCGCATCCAATGCCGCGGTCGGCATGGCCGTAGCCCTACTGATTCAGCCCCTACAAGGGCGCAAACACAGGGGTTGTTTTTTCGTCGAAACACAGTTTTTAGGCTAAAAATTGTGAAGAGACATTAATTTAAGGGCTTAAAAGCATATACCCGATGGCTTTGGTTGTCTGGAAGGCCTACCCAGCGGCGTGGATGTTTTCAACCCCTCCGCTTGGGGGTTGTGCACCCCTAACGTGGGAGTGTCTTTGCGTGGTTCCAAGGGCAGCTATCGACGTGGGACCTTCTCGACGCTGTTCAGGGTCACGTCCACCACAACCCTGGTGAGTTTCACCCCCATCTGAAAAGCAGAAATTCCTCAAATTGCAGGGGGTTGAAAGGGAGTGAAGTGTTTCGGCCTCTCCGAGGGTGACAACGGGGTGCACAGGCTCAGACGCGGAATCCTCTTGATCAAATGACCAAGAGGATGACGCCAGCCCGATCTCAGGGCTGTACCTCAAGAACTGTGGATATTTAAGGGGGGTGGGGGTTGCAGGGGGTGGGTTTGTCCTAGAGGTCTCCCGGGGTCACATTTTGTAGAAGACGTCAAGGGCAATCGCTCTATACCGTTTTCCGATTCTTTTTACCTCCGAGAGCCAGGCTGGTCGCTTCTAAAGTTGCGTTTTTTTGCACTTCAAATTTGCTGGGGGTGAATCACCCCCTCCCGGTCCAACCTTGTCGGTGCAACTTAACGCGCGTCTTCAGAACACTTGAAGGCAACTTGTGTCAAAATTGCAGCCTTCTAGCTCCGAAACACGAGATTTGAGGTCACTTTAAAAATGTCCCCTTAATTTTTCCGCTAGTGTATATACATCGGCAACTTTGGCCCGTCCTGTACATTAAGAAACGTACGAATGTCGCCTATGTTAGACCCTGACGGGATTTAAACCTGAGTCTGGGGCTAAAATAAATGTCGTTTGCGTCATCAGCACCCTCAAGAACATTAGAAACGATGCAAAAACGCGAATAAACAGAATGTTCAAAAAATACCCCGCCGGGATTTGAACCCGGATCCGAACTTCTCCGATTCGCTCGAAACTGGCACCATTGGTTTTTTCTCGTCGCCCCGATTCCAAAAATATCCCTACATGCCCTTCTGGCTGCATCCGTTGCCGAAATCCTCCTCGACCCCATGTAGACCATGATGCACCTGCAGCAGCGCCCCCGGGGCTCGGATCGGATTTGCTGCCACAGGGCGGTTCTTAGGGTCACCCAAGGAGGCTGCATACCAAATTTGGTCAAGATCGGACCGCAGGAAGTCCTCGGACGGACGAACGAACGAACGGACGGACGGACGCACAGAAGAGATCATACTGAGCAAAATCAACTAAGACGGACCAGTTCTTCCGGTGACCCTCTCCGATTTGCCTGATTTTTTGTAGGCTTAATAACTAAATAAAGGAGAGTCTAAAGCCAAAATATTAGGTTCGGCATAAATTTATTGCTCGAGATATGGCCAACTTTAGTTTCACTTTTAGAGAAAAAACACAAATTTGGGTATTTTGGACTAATTTTACACTTTTCATAGTAGAGGGCTTAAACTCGGTCACTGTATGTAAAATTGGCCAAGGAACAAGAATATGACCTCAGATTTGACCTCCGACGAATACCTGAAGAGAAAACCCCCCAAAACCCCCTAAAAACATATATAAAAAAACAGTTTTTTCTTCGGGTTTCTGAAAAAAATACGTGGACAAATATTTCTGATGATCTTATCTTGTAGAAAATGACGCGATGAATCGAATGAAACCATGCGCAGATTTTCAAGTCAAACCGTTTAGGAGATAAAGCGGTTCAAAGTATGAAAATTTTGCCCTTTTTTTTAAATGCAGGTTTTGAGCATTGTTTGACGTCTTTTGCCTCCTTGGTGCAAGTGGGTTTTCTTTTCTTGTGGAAAAAGATGCGCTGAATCGAGAAAGATCACGCACAGAGTTGTATCTCGAACCGTTTAGGAGATAAAGTGATTTAAAGGATGGGCACGGGAGAGCTCCTGCAAACACCCGACAAGGCAGAGCCACCAAACACGCCTGTCGGGCGGGCGGACTACAGTGCCCATACTTTGCGCCGCTTTATCTTCTAAACGGTTCAAGATACAACTCTCTGCGTGGTCTAATTTGATTCAGTGCGACTTTTTCCACAAGAAAAGAACACTCACACGCACCAAGGAGGCAAAAGACGTCAAACAATGCTCAAAACCTGCATTTCTTAAACAAGGGGTACGCGCCGTTAAGTGTGGGCGCGTAGTGTGGCTGAGCGATGCGAGTTTGTGCACTTCGGACTTTTCTTAAGGTAGACGAAATGTGCCGTTTGTGGGCTCATATTGAGTGAAATGTAGGTCCGGGGTACAAATGGAAGTGATTTTCGTTTTCAGCAAACAAAAAACTGTTGGGATCAACGTCAAACTCAATTCAGAAATTTTGGTCCGAAATTGGTCCAAATTCGGTTAGGCGTGAGTCTGGGAAAAATTTGGAAGTCATTTTTGAGTTCAGCACTCCAAAATCTGCAGGAAACGATGTAAAACTCGATTTGAAAATTTTGGTCCAAATTGACCTTATTTGGGATGGAAATATAAGTCTAGAGTCGAAATGGAGGTGATTTTCGTTATCAGGACACAAAAAACTGTTGGAATCAACATAAAACTCAATTCAAAAATTTTGGTCAAAATTTGGTCAAAATTTGGTAAAGCGTGAGTCTAAAAAAAACTCGG